GGGGAACACCCAGGTGCTGGCTGGAGGAACAATGTCACTGTCGGCAAAGCTCACCCACTGCACCACCTGAGCTGCTGCCTCCGGAGTACTTCCCCGCAGGTCCTCGTTGCTTACTGCAAAAGCAGGACGTAAAGCTTGGAACTTACACGTCATGCCAAAACCAACCCAGGTCTCTGAGATTCCACCTTGTCCACAGCAATCACTCCCAGCCACCTCTACAGCCTCATCCCCAGAACCTCTCGATCCTGTATCCCCACAAATTACCGTAATAGGCGATGGCATTGCTCTCAAACACACAGAATCCGTCATCACCCTCAAATGCTGGAACCTGGGGCAAAGCAATGAAAAGACATACGTTCTCAGGGATGAACTGTTCCAAACAAGAATGTTAGGACAACCCTTGCTATGCAAACTCGACATTATCTGAAACTCAGAAATGAAAAATATTCAGTAACTCTTATAATCTGCATTCAGTATCTGGACTAAGAATTCAAACATGGCTAAAATGTGAAATTAAGGCCCCATGCCCTTTATCCCAGCATTCTCTGAGTCTGAATCCAGGCAGGCTTAGTGAGACCCTATCTCAAAATAAATAATATATTCAGGTATGGATGTCATCAGTCTAAATCTACAACTCCACTACCCAAAGCATTAGGTGCACCCACATTCGGCATTTGCCCCCCTCTATACTCAGCTTGATATTTAGCTCTACTCAAACCCTTTGGGATAAGTATCCAACTCACAAGAAACTTATTATATGTGTACAGATAACACTTGGCCAAAATACATTTCAGCCCACAAATAAAGCAGGTCTGTAACTGAGAGTCACTGACCAGCTCCGAATTTCCCTTCAGAACTATACATACCTCCAACCGTTTTCCTTTATAAACAGGATCTTACTGGACTATGTAAGCTGCCCTCACACAATCCTGCCTCATCTCCAGAATGCTGGGATTACCAGAAACCTTCAAAATGATTTTTTTTTTCCTTTCAGGTGCCTGGACAGTCAAACTTGGGGCCTTTCATCCCTGGCCCCATGAATTTTTTTTAAATTCACTTCAATGCTAAAGAACATAGCATGGAGGCCATCTCCAGAATAACAGGATTCTAGGGCTCCTTGGGGTCTCCGCTTCCCTACTCACCTTGCCAGCTGGGAATTTTCTGAGAAATTCAGGGGTGCGGTTGGTTTGGCCAAAGTGGAAGTGGGGTGGTGCGGAGAGCACGCGGACCTGGGCCCCACTGTACTGAGCAGCAATGAGAGCCTTGAAGGCT